TTCAAGCATGTTTTAGGTCTAGCTTTGTGAAGCCTTTGTGCTTATTTTGCCATGTTTGAGGTCTGTCAATAGTTGTTTGGGTCGACTTTGCCATGCATTATATGCCCCCTTTGCATTTTGGCTTGTTAGTCTTAAGTGTGTGAGTGTGTAGCATGCACTACTTGCTTTATTCTAATGGTTTGGCACCATTTATGGCATCATTTCAGTCCCTTTAACATGCTTGTATGCTTGCCTTGGATGCCTTTCATGCTTGTATGCTTGCATTTGATGCCCCTTTAATGCTTTAAAAGGTTGGTGTTTCATGCTCCATGTTTGGGTCATTGTGTATGCTTCCATATGTAGGTCATTTAGATGCCATCTAAGTGTGTTTTGGGCTTTGTCTCGACCTACATTGAGACTGTTTTGAGTCCCCTTGACCCTTTGGGACTCGCCTTGCATAGCCATGGTTTGATCCCTTAGGTGTTAGCCTTAGGCCTTAGGCTTGTTTGCATGCTTTGATTACTTGATTTGGCATCATCTTCTACATGTTTTTCAAAGCTTATCATGTATGTCATGTTAAGTATGCTTACAAGCTGCCTCTTTATGCATAAGTGTTGGACTTTGTGTGTATGAATGTTTGTGTGTACATTGGCCTTACATGTTGTCACATACTTGGCCCATAAACATCTTGTCACATGCTTAAATGATAGTGCATTTGGCATGCATTCTTCTCTTTGTCTAGGTTGCTTAGCATGTTGTTACATGTTTGCCCCATGTGTTGTTGCATGCTTGTCATTAGCATGATTGTTACATGCCTTGCATGCTTGTTTGCATTGTCATGTTGCATACTTAGCTTGCATGCCTAGGTTGCATTGCATTTGGCATGCATGCCTTGCCTCTTGAATCACCATGATTGAGGTTGGGTTCCTTATGTGTTTGTGTGCATTACATTTTACATTAAAATGCACAACTTGGCTTCTTGGGCCATCACGCATTGAAATGCGTGATTGGTGGTCCGAGAATCGAGTACCATCCCCCTTTGGGTCATAAACATGATAAGGGGTGTGGTGGTGCACACATTTGCTTGAAATGCATTGCCATGCCATGTTTTCCCTCTGCTACTATCAAAACAGGTTTCTGCAGGCATACATGGCCGACCGACCACATTCAGTGTTGACCGGCCATGCATTGGTGGCCGAGAGCTCAATAGATGGTCGATGACCACTTCTCCATGGCCGGTGACCATTCCTCATAGCCGGTGGCATCCCACAGTGTTCAGATAGTGTTCCCTGGGATTTGTACAATTTTCAGAGGAGGAAAACAGTGAAAACAGAGGCAACTTGTGCATGGCATTGGATTTTCGAGCGGAGCCGAGCATGCGTGTATTGGGCCCTCTTCCCAAGGCTGTTTTACTGCTTTATTAGCTTAGTTAATTTGCTTAACTAGTTAATTGGTCTGTAATTATTTAATTAGCTTGATTAGTTAATTAAATTGTATTATTCTTTTGGTCCCTCCGAGTGAGGACGAATTTGTAATAAGTGTGGGTTTGTGTGTGCATGTCTTCCAACCCCCACTTTCTTTCTCCCTTTTATTTAACCGCTTACGATGGTTAGATTTAGCGCACGTTTCATTTAGCATAGCTTATGCTTGCATGTTTGCATCCATTCATCCGTATTGCATGCACCGGGCTCGGCTCATCATACTAACCGCATCGTATTTCAATTCCAACTTTTCTTTTGGTTGCTTTACAAAGGAATCAAAAGCACTTGATTGGTTAGAACAATTTCATTGTAAGCATGAAATTAGTAATAATCCACAATATTAATTCTTCCTTAATTAATTTCACCAGATGCTTTTTTAAGTGCCTCATAAACAGGAAATCATTTTCTTGGGCTTACCCTATTAATTTGAATTGAAACCCCCATGAGACCAAACTATCAAGAAACACAACCACCTCAAAACAGAGTTTGCACCCAAAAGAAAAAAAAAAAAAAAAACAAAAAAAAAAAAAAAAATTAAACAAGAGCATACAAGTACAACCCCACAAGTCAAAACGTATATTTTTTATTTTTTTTCATTGACTTGAATCCTTGACCTCTCCTAAAAAGGTGCTCCAATTATCTTAGGGCAGATGTCTTTTTAACTTGGACATTAATTTACTCCCACTTATGACTAGCTCAAATTATGAATATAAAGTGGAAAAAGAGTTTGGGAATGGGAATGAAAGTGGGGAAGAGACATGGATAGTTCTTTAAAAACTCCACATGCTCTTTAAAAACTTCACATGTTGAACTGATCTACATTGAAGATCCCAAAAAATGTGGGAATAAGCATGCAGTGTATATAAGTTTTAAAAAATTGTTATTCCTTACCCATTAATTCTCATTTCAAAAAAATGTGGGAATAAGCATGGAGTGTATATTAGTTTTAAAAAATTGTAATTCCTTACCCATTAATTCTCATTTCATAAGCTAAATATGATCCTTTATCCAACTCAATGTACCTAGTAAAAAATGAAAAATGATATCTACACATCATTTTCCAAATAATTGTTTCTTAGTCAAATAAATTATTCTTATATGAAGTGTGATAACTTTGAGAGTTTTTGGAATCTACTAAATTTGGATTAAAAGATGCAGTGTTAAGTTCTATATTAGGACAGAATTCTTTAATAGCTATCTTATTCAGCTTTAGCTTATACCTTTTCCTGATTTTGCATTCAGCATGCCTAGTTATGGTTAGAATCTTATTCAAAATTGACATAATTACATTGTTTATTGGTGATGAGTGATTGTCAGGTACTCGACAGTTGACCCTTTCTTTTTGTATATGTTTAGAACATAACTACTCCAACTAATATTTGTATATTGTTATGTATAGAGAGTTTTCTTATGCACTTCTTGCAATTCTTTAATAATATCAATATAGCAGCTTGAACTCATTCATCTCCCTTGTTTGATACTTTCATACTACTAAATTGTTTTTGTTTTCTTTGCTTCTGCTTTATTAGTCTTCGATTCTGAGGGACAGTCTCTTATAGGGATAGCCAATCTTAGATATCAAATTCGTATTGCCTTCATTCTTATGCCGAATGTCTGACAAGAAAAAAGTAACCAAAATAGAATTAAATAAAAGAAATGCCAAGCACAAGAAACAAAATGAATCTTAAACTTCTTAACTCAAATAATATTCCCAATACCTAAGTTGTCTATCAATGATAGAGAGTTGGTTGCAACTATCATTGAATTCTTTTTCATTGAATTTACACGATCTCCATTTATTTATCTAAAATTATCATTGAATCATTTTCAACAAAACAACTAGTGTTTTAATTTACATGATCTCCAATTATTAATTAATTTGCTCCCAATTGGGAATCTTAGTTATTTCTCCAACCCAATATATGTTGCCATAATTTTCTTTACCTTGTCTATAGATGAGTCAGCAACAAAATGATGCATATTTCACCAACTTGATGAATGATGGGACTGATTATGAATTTATGGATGAACCTCTTGACCAAGGGGATCAGTCTTCCCCAATCTCTCCTCAAATAGAAACCACCAAGAAACCACAACGAGGTGGCAACTTCACTACAGAAGAAGACAGTATGCTCATATCGGCGTGGCTAAACATTAGCTTAGATCCAGTGCAAGGGAATGAACAAAAATCAAAGGCTTATTGGCTAAGAGTGTGGGAGTATTTCCACCAGTACAAAACTTTTTCATCTAATCGTAGTCAAACTTCTTTAATGAACCGTTGGTTAGCAATTCAACTTGCCACGAATAAGTTCAGTGGGTGCTTCGCCCAAATCCAAAGGGTGAATCAAAGTGGAAAGACTGACAAAGATAAGGTATTAGTGCCATTGAGTTTTTTATACTTATTATCATTGGAATTGTCTAGTCTCATGATAATTAGTGTTGTTTTATCTATTATTCAGATTCTTGATGCGAAGAAATTATACAAAGAGTTGTACAAATCGTCATTTCCATTTGAACATTGTTGGCATGAGTTAAGAGATCAACCAAAATGGCGAGAGGAATATAGCACGAAGAAACAAAAACCAAAAAAAGTGGCAACTCCCGGCGTTTGTTCTCCTAATGCACCGGATTCAATCAATTTAGAGGACAATGATGTTTCACATAATGACAATGTAGACTTGGAAAGACCACCGGGCAGGAAAGCTGAAAAGGAACGTTTGAATAAAAGAAAGAATAAAGACCGTAGAAATGAAGGAGGGTCACATATTTTAATATTATTAGAGGATTTAAAGGAAGATAGAAAGAAAATGAATGACAAGAAAATAGAGATGTATGAAAGGTCGTATCTTCAAGAGCAAGAAAAGATTGATAGTGAGAAAAACAGGACGCAAACGGAACAAGAAAAGGTTGATAATGAGAAAGAGAAGATACGAATGGAACAATTGAAGGAGGAAGAGCGAATAATGTCAATAGATACAAGTGGTCTGCCTTCATTGCAAGCAGAATGCCTTCATCGCCGCCAAATGGAAATTCTCCAAAAAAAGATTTAGTTGTTGGAACTACCCAAAAATAATTTAGTTGTTGGAACTAGGTTTTTCACTTTATTTATTGTTGGATTTGATTCTCCATTGTAGGCAGAACTATGTTTTTATGCAGTTTATGTTGGAATTATTTATTATATGTTAAAAGTTTTTTGAAACTACCTATTGTTGAATGGTTGAACTAGTAGTAATTTAATTACTGAGTGGAATTCTCGTTGAATGCTTGCTGAAGTACTCCATGGCTAAATATAATTCTTATTGTATGTTGGATTGGAGTAATTTTTATTTATAGGACATTTCTATTTGTTGATCAATTAAATACAGATTATGTAAGTTGCTGGTGTTTTGATTTTGGAAGTTGTTTGATATGTTTTATAAATTTGACTTTGCAGAAAATTGAAGTTGTTAGGCAGAAACTTGCAAAGCTTAAGAAGCAAAACACAACCTAATATTTATTTTCAGTTGCTTATTACTCAGCTTCATTCTTCTTTTAATTTCCATGGCTCGCAATAGTGTAATGAAGATGATTATTGATGACTCTGATTCTGATAATGAATTGGAGATATTTGCAATAGCTGCTTTAGAAGAAGAGCGGCTAAATAATGAGAGGCAATTGGGATTACGTCGTGGTTCTATTCAAGGTCATACAGTTATTTATCGTAATCGAATTCAAGGCCACAAGAGACTTTATCAAGATTACTTCTCTGAAACGCCTATATATCCGCCCAATTTATTTAGGAGGAGGTTTTGGATGAGTCGATATCTCTTTCTTCGTATTTTATCTATGGTGGAAGCATATGATCCTTATTTTGTCCAGAAGAAAGATGCTATTGGAGTTCTTGGTCTGTCTTCCCTTCAAAAGATGACAGCGGCTATGAGGATGCTCGCTTATGGAGTAGCGGCCGATTCTGTAGATGATTATGTGAGGATTGGAGAAAGCACTGCAATAGAAAGTCTACAAAGGTTTGTTCAGGCAGTGGTTGCAATTTTTTCAGATGTGTACTTGAGGGCACCAAACAAAGATGACATTGCTAAATTACTAGAGGTGGGAAAAAATCGTGGGTTTCCTGGAATGTTGGGGAGCATTGATTGTATGCATTGGAAGTGGAAGAATTGTCCTACTGCATGGAAAGGTATGTATTGTGGTCATATCCATGAACCAACTATTATTTTAGAAGCGGTGGCTTCCTATGATCTATGGATATGGCATGCATTTTTTGGATTACCGGGATCTCATAACGACATCAATGTGTTAGAACGTTCTTCTGTATTTTCTCTCCTTACTGAAGGGCATGCTCCCCAAGTTGATTACTCAATCAATGGAAATGACTATACAATGGGATATTATCTCGCTGATGGTATATATCCTCAATGGTCAACATTCGTTAAAACAATTTCATCTCCACGAGGCAATAAGCAAATACATTTTGCTAAGGCTCAAGAGTCAGCAAGGAAGGATGTCGAACGAGCATTTGGAGTGCTCCAAGCACGTTTCTCAATTGTGTGAGGACCTGCACGTTTTTGGAAAGTTGAAACCCTTAAAGTTATTATGAAGGCATGTATAATATTGCATAACATGATTGTTGAGGATGAGCGAAATGAACAAAATATAGACTGTAATTATGATGCAATCGATGAAACTCTCCCTCCAACAGTATCACACGAGCGTACACCCGAACTTTATGACTTCATTCAAAATCATCATCGCATAAGAGATAGACAAACTCATTCTAAACTCCAAGCAAACCTAGTTGAGCATTTGTGGCATCTACATGGAGATTTGTAACAATTAGTGTTAGAAATAGTTTATTTATTTTGAATTTTATTCCTAACTTTGCTATTTATGATTTTTTTTCTTATTTATTCATTGACCTTTAAGGTTTTTAATTAGTTAATTTGTGTTCTTTCGGTTCTTAATTTTATAAATTATAATTATTGAAGAACGTCCTTTGTATTGTTATTTTTTTTTTAAAATTCTTTATTGTTTTCTTTTATTCTTCCCCTCCATTCCTTTCAAGATGGTTCCACCAAATTCATATGTTGAAATGTATTCACATACTATAAATTTTATAATAAAAAAATAAATATTACTTAAAATTATTTTTTATAATATTTTTAAAACTAATATTAAAAAATATTATTTTTAAAAATATTATTGCAAATGTCACATTGGCAACCATATTAGAGAGTAGGTGCATATGTGGCATTCTATGAAAAAAAGTAATATATATATATATATATGTGGCATTTTTTGTTTTGAAGATTGGTTAAATTAGTTTGAATGACTAGCTAAAATAAAGAGTATAGTTGAAACACACAATAGCTAAACTAATTAGGTAAAATAAAGAGTGTCATTTTTTTATACTTTTGCTAGTGAAAAATAAAGAGTGTGGTTGGAGATGCTCTAAATCGAGTCAAGTTGAGTTGTTTTTGTTCATTTACAACCTTATGTTCATTTATAACCTTAATATCAACGCAATCGCAACAAAGAATTTGCACTCTCAAACTCCTCTCCCACACCACAGGCCTAATTCAGCTCTTTTCAGTCCCAACTTTTGAGTCACGACTGGGTTCATTTCAAATTTTTTTATACAAAGTGTCAAATGGAAGCATTATTTAATAATGTTTATGGACTCTATCATAAAAGAGAGAGCTTTTCTTGCAAAAAATTGACATAATAATTTGACATGAAAAATAGGGCACAACTGAAGATAAATTTAGAAGAATTATTGCAAAGTTTTGATTGGACAAATCACCAAATAAAAAAAATAAAAAAAAATTTTGAGTTTTACAACAAAAAAAAATATTAAAATTTTAATTTATTTCCAATTTAAACCATCTGCCTATCAAAAAAAAAAAAATTGGCTGAGATTCATGTTATTGATGGTTCAGCTGTGTTATCGATTTCTAACTCGTAGAGAAAGAAGCGATTACAAAGGAAGGTAGATGATTGCTAGCGAGGGAGGAGTTGATGTGGTGCCAGCAATCAAGGGCCAGTTGGTTGAAAGATGGTGACTGCAATACAGCGTTCTTTCACTCGAAGGCATCTCAACGGGATAAGAAGAAAAAGATTGTGGGTTTGGTAGATGAATATGGGCATTGGTGCTCTACATTCAGGGCCGGCCCTAACTTTTTTTCTGGTCTCGAAACGAATTTTCAGCACGGGCCTTTTTCACATACTTAAATAATAATAATTATTATGTGTTTAATTTTTATTTTTAAAAATTTACTTAAATATGCATTAAAGTTTATAATTATAAAAATGACTAAAAAATCTAAATTGAAATATCTAATAAAAAGCAAATTGTAACAAAAATCACTTAAATATCGTTCTTTTCGCGTTTTTAGCTATAAAATTATTGATCTAATTCACATAATCCAAATTGTAAGCTAAATCATTTTCAGTTTCACTTGACATAATTGAGCAAAGGTAAGATTCAATCAATTTTAATTTGAAAAGAGCAACTGTAAGTAGTGTAATCCATCCTCTATTCCTATATATAATCTATACATTTAGAAATACCCATTCAATAATTTCAAACAATTCAACACATCAATAAATTTTTTGATTTTTTTCGATTAAAATAACTATCTATTAGTTTTAATAATTTACCACATCAATCATGTATTAGTTTTAAATCATAACCAAATTTTGTTGAGATCCTTTAAATTCAATCAGATTTCTTTTATATAGATTAATATAATATTTAACAAAATTTTAGGGCATTTTTTTAGTTAATTTTCTAGGGTCCAAAGCGGTGGTTTCACCGGCTTATGCCCAAAGCTGGCCCTATCTAAACCCCAAGAGTTGGATCGAATAGCAGTGGGTTTTTTTCAGGGCTTGTTCTCGACGAGTAACCCTAACCCACCAGGTATTGATCCGGTCTTGACTTCGATAAATTAAACCTTGTGTTACGCAGGATATGAATCATAGTTTGTCCAAGGTTTTTACTGCTGAGGAGGTGCACCGTGCTTTATTTCAAATGCACCCTACAAAACCCCGGGCCAAATGGGAAGCGTACGTTGTTTTTTCAGCGGTTTTGGGGAATTGTGGGACGGCAAGTTACTAAAGCAGTCCTTGGTATTCTCAATAGAGCACAAGAAGAAAAAAAAGATTGGAACCTATAATTTTAAAACTCTAATAACTTTAATGTGTTGTGGTCTCATCTACGGTGATGTTTTGTTTTGATCTTGTCTTTTTTTTTTTTTTTTCTTTTCTTTTCTTTTTTTTTTTTTTGAATTTTCTACGTCACTAGAGTTTAATTAGAGCTCTGATGTATCATTGTTGTTGTAGAGCACAAGATGTGTCAGTGGTGAATGAAACTTTCATTGTATTGATTCGGAAGGTCAAAAAATTTCATCCGATAAGTTCATGTAATGTAATTAACAAAATTGTTAGTAAGGTTGTTCTACCATCAGTGGTGTCGCTTAACCAGAGTGCATTTATTTCTGGGAGGCTAATTAGCGACAATGTCTTGACTGCGTATGAGCTATTCCATTTTATGGAAAACAAAAAAACGCCAGGAGAAAGGACATTTTGTGCTAAATTAGACATGAGCAAAATGCACGATTGTATGGAGTGGATTTTTTGCGTGGAGTGGTGTGATGCGTCGCATGGGTTTCCGTAATGATTTTATATGGCTTATTATGCATTGCGTGTCCACGGTGTCATTTTCAGTTCTTATCAATTGGAAACTGACCAGAACCTTTTGCCTTTCGAGAGGAGAGGGCTTCGTCAGGGTGACCCGTTATCACCGTATCTTTTTTTATTGTGTACGGTGGGCTCTCATCTTTGATCCATAAAGCTGAGGAAGAACGCAATTTGTCCAGTGTTACGGTTTGTAGAGGTAGCCCGACGGTTTCTCACCTGTTCTTTGCCGACGACAGCTTACTGCTTGGAACGGCCTCTATGTGGGCAGCTCAAGTGGTGGTGGATATCTTGCAGAAATATGAGCAGGCTTTGGGCCAAAAAATCAATCTGACAAAGTTGGCAATATGTTTTAGTAAAAATGTGGATGAGTCTTTACGGGAGAATATTCGTGGAGTATTTGGCGTGGGAGTTATGGTGCATTTAGGTAAGTATTTGAGCATGCCATATCTTGTGGGTCGATCGAAAAAAGAAGTGTTTGATTACCTTAAGGATTGAATTCGGAAGTGAGAGAACGGCAGGAAAGAAAAAACTTTATCTGCGGCTGGAAGGGAAATCCTAATCAAGGCAATGGCACAATCAATTCCTACGTATGTTATGAGTTGTTTTCTATTGCCGGTTAGCTTGTGTTCCGAGATTGATGCCATTTGTTAGCAAATATTGGTGGGGGCAAAGGGAGGATAAGAGAAAGATTCATTGGGAAAATGGAATTTCTTGTGCTCGCAAAAGCGGGTGGAAGGCATGGGCTTCAGGTGTTTGAAGGATTTCAATGTTGCAATGCTAGCTAAGCAATGATGGAGACTTCTCAAGCACCCTGACACCCCCTGGGTCGTATTTTGAAGGCCAAGTATTTTCCACATACTTCTTTTTTGGCAGCAGAAATTGGCACAAATCCTTCCCACACGTGGCGTAGCATTATTCATGCACAGTCTCTCTTGGCTGTGGGTGTTCGTTGGAGGGTTTGGTGTGGTGCGAGTATTCGAATTGTCGAAGATAAATGGTTACCAAGGCCCAATTCGTTTCAAATAATTGCACCGCCGCTGAATTTACCAAGTGATTCTAAGGTGAATTGTCTTATAGATCAGGATAAAAGATGTTGGGATGAGGAGCTTATTCGGCACAATTTTCTAGCAATGGATGCTTAGGTCATTCGGAGTATTCTGTCAAGCCATGATTTTCCTTTGGATAATCTGATATGGCATTTTACGAAGCATGGAGTCTTTTCTGTTCGATCGGCCTATCACTTATGCCAAAATATTGATCAATCAGCCCAATTGACGGAGTCTTCGGTGGGTAGACCTTGCTGGGATCAGTTGTGGAAAAAGTTTGGCAACTTAAGCTTCCAAATAAAATCAAAGTGTTTGCCTAGAAAGCGTGTAATAATATATTGCCGGTGAAGTCTCTGTTGCGGAGTCGTAGAATTCTGATTGATGATTCATGCTCCGGTTGTGGTGTGAATAGGGAAACATTGATGCACTGTCTTTGCAATTGTGAAGTAGGATCTAAGTCCATTGTGAAATCTGGTGCAGTGGGCCCATAATCAGGATTTCAAGGAGTGGTTTTGGCAGGTAATGACTCATGGGAATGATTCCAGTCTGGGCTTGTTTATTGCCTTTTGCTGGGGCATTTGGACGAGGCATAATCAAGTGATCTTCTGTGACAACCATACTATGGCTGAGGCAACGGTGATCATGGTGTGTAGTTTGGTTGATGATTTTGCTCAAGTGCAGCAAAGAATTCAAGGTCCATTGCGGAGGGTGAGTGACATTCGGTGGTATGTACCGGAGGAAGGGTGGCTCAAGATTAATTTTGATGGGGCGAGGTTCCAAGAGTTGTAGACAGTTGGCGTTGGTGTGGTT